GGCCGGAGCGGGATGGGGCCGCCGGGGCCATCAGCCCAAGCGGGGCCCCCACAGCCGAAGACGCAGGGGTCGGGGTGGCCTGGATCCCAGCAGTCCAGGACACAGGTGTGGGGTTACCTGGGGTATATTCGCCTAGGACGCAGCAGCCAGGGCACAGGGGTAAGCCCAGGATGCAGGCGTCAGAGTTACCCCCGCATGTCAGCCCGCGACTCAGGGATCATGTTGGCCTAGGGGCCACCAGCGCAGGACACGGGGGTCAGGGTGACCTGGGCATTCCGCCTCCATGACTCAGGGATTGGGATGGTCGGGGACTGTCAGTCCAGAATACAGGGGCCAAAGTTGGTGTGTTCTGCAGCACTTCCAACCTAAGTCCCAAGGGTTGGAGTGTCTAGGGCCAATAGTCCAAAGAAGGGGACAGAATTGGAATAACCTCGGTTTTTTCAGCCCCTAAACATGGAGGTCATTGTCCCCTTAATGCTGTCAGCTCCTGAATTTGGGGTCAGGGTCTTCTTCACCTTATAAAATCCCCTGGACTTGAGTTTCAGGGTCTCCGGACCCAGGGGCCTGTTGGCTCTGGACACGGCCCTGCACCCCTGCCCGCTTTGTCAGTGCCCTGGATGCCTGGACTCCCAGGCGTTGCTTCTGTGCCCCGTACATGTCTACCTCCTCTGACCCAGCCTGTGGAGCAGGGTCCTGCTCACACTGCTCATCCAATCTCAGAGCCTTCTGCACCCAGCCAGACCTCGCTGCCCACCATCCCAGAGTTGCCGGGCTCTGCACCATTACCCTGGCCTAGTTTCATTTCTGGGCACCCTCAACCCTCCCAGGGCAGCGCCTCCCAGCTATCCTCCTGCTGTGGAGAGTACTGTGGCTCAGGTGACCCCGCCTCCTGGGTCCCCTCCTGGGCCCTGCTGCCCTCTTCCTGAGGAGTGACTTCAGGAGCCAGGCCTGACTGTGGGGTCCCCTCAGCCAGGCTGCACCTTGGCTCTGTGCTTTGTGGGTGTGCCAGCGTGGAGGGCTTTTCCTACCTGGAGGTCCTCAAGCCACCCCCTACACGAAATCTTAACTGGAGACCCCCCCTGAATGTTCCTGGCTGTCCATGGTGCACTGGCACTTGCCACAGTTACAATCCCAACCGAAAAGTGTGCAGTTCCCAGCTGTGGCCAGGCTGAGAGGGTGCCTGCCTGCCTAAGCCTTTCTACCAGATGTTCGCCCACATACTAGCCTGCCTGCTGCTCCAGGGACAGTCGGAGTGGCCACCGGGGGCCGAGAGATAAGTTTGCCCTAAATGTACCAGCTAGGCACCAAGCATTTGGCATGCCCAGCCCCTTCTTGAAGAGGAGGTTCATAGCACTATTCTGGTATCAAGGAGTTGCTCCTCCCACAGTGGGCAGCGGACTCCAAGGATGAGGACCATCCACCCTGTCTCTGCTCCCAGACCTATCGCTAAGCAAGTGGGGGGCTGCCCTGGTAAAGGGAGCTTCTGGCGACAGGCTTTAGGCTTCCAGGATCCATTGTTTTCAGGGAGTGAGGACAATGGGATCTCCTGGAGGTAGCCCGGAAGTGTTGCTCATGAATGTGGTGTT